GGGCGGCATGGCGAGCGGCGCCACGGGCGGCATGGCGAGCGGTACGCCGGAGAGCGGGCGCGTGCGGGCGCTGCAGCAGGAGGTGGAGGGCGTCAAAACCATCATGACGCAGAACGTGGAGCGCATCCTGGCGCGGGGCGAGAACCTGGAGCAGCTCCACAGCAAGAGCCAAGACCTGGAGGCCACGGTGAGGGCCGGGGACGTCATCGCGGCCGGTATGGGGGTCACCAGGGCGGTATATGGTCCCCAAGGTGGGTCACAGGGTACCACCCCAAGGTGGCCTCAAGGTCCCTGAGATGCCACGGGGTCCCCAAGGTGGCCACAAGGTCCTTGAGATGCCACAGGGTCCCCAAGGTGGGCCACAGGGTCCCCAAGGTGGCCACAAGGTCCTTGAGATGCCACAGGGTCCCCAAGGTGGGCCACAGGGTCCCCAAGGTGGCCACAAGGTCCTTGAAATGCCACAGGGTTGCCAAGGTGGCCACAAGGTCCTTGAGATGCCACAGGGTCCCCAAGGTGGGGCAGAAGGTCTTCAGAGAGGACGCAAGGTCCTCAAGGTGGGCACTGGGTCCCCAAGGTGGCTGCAGGGTCAGTGAGATGCCACAGGGTCCCCGAGGTGGCACAGGGTTTCCAGGATGGAGACAGGGTCCCCAAGGTGGCCGTAAGGTCCTCAAGGTGGGCACAAGGTCCCTGAGATACCACAGGGTCCCCAAGGTGGCAGAGGGACTCCAAGATGGACACAGTGTCCCTGAGGTGGACACAAGGTCCTCAGGGTGGGCACAGGGTCCCCGAGGTGGCAGTGGGTCCCCAAGTTGGGCCCATGGCTCCTGAGGTGGCACAAGGTCCCTAAGGTGGGGTACAGTGTCCCCAGGGTGGGACACGGTGTCCCTGAGGGGGCTCCGGGGCACTGGGTCCAGTTGGGCACTGGGGGTGGGGACATGGGGCACTTTTTGGTGGCATTGGGGGTCCTCGGGGTGGCAGTGGGTGTCCCCAAGGGTGGCAGAGGGCTGTCCACGAGGTGGCAGCAGGGGGTCCCCAGGGTGGCAGGGGATGTCCCCAGGGTAGCAGCGGGTGTCCCCGGGGTCACAGAGAGCGTCCCCAGGGTGGCAGGAGGTGTCCCCGGGGGCAGGGGGTGTCCCCGGGGTCACAGCAGGGTCCCTGGGGTGGCAGGGGATGTCCCCGTGGTGGCAGGAGGTGTCCCCAGGGTCACGGTGGGGGTCCCTGGGGTGGCAGTGTGTGTCTCTGGGGTGGCAGGGGGTGTCCCCGGGGTGTCAGTCCATGTCCCCAAGGCAGCGGGGCTGTCCCGGGGTGGCAGGGGGTGTCCCTGGGGTCACAGGAGGTGTCCCTCTGGTGGCATTGGGTGTCCCCGGGGTGGCAGGGCTGTCCCCAGGGTCACAGGAGGTGTCCCCGTGGCGGCGGTCAGTGTCCCCATTGTGGCAGGGGGTGTCCCCGGGGTCACA